AGTATTTTATTTTGTAATTAATTAATTAAAAAAAATTTTTTTTCAGCACTGGGGATTGAACTCAGGCCCTTGAGCTTGCCAGGGAAGCACTTATTCCACTGAGCCATCTCCCCGGCCCTAAATACAGTATTTCAATACAGTAAAAGATGCATTGGCTACGAGTCCCCCTAACGCCCTCCCCTTTGCTTTGAACGCACTCATCCCAGCATCCGTGCCACTTCCTGACGCAGCCTGGAGTCCTCTCCCCCAAGTGTCTACAAAGTTAGGGCCAGGGATACGGCGCGGCGGCACACAGCGAGCGCAAGGCCCCGGGTTCAATTCCCGGTAGAGAGGAAAAAAAAAAGAATGACTTTTAAAAAGTACGGTGAATGCTGCCGTTGGATGCCACCCAACAGAAAGGTGGCCTCATACACAGGACGGACAGTGCGTCCTTATCCAGCCTAGTCACTGGGGTGACTCCTGGCTCTTCCCCAAGGTCACAGTGACCACAAAAGGTAAACGTTTTCAGTGGACTCAAGGCATCAAGGCAGTGCAATTTTTTTTTTGTTTTTTGTTTTTTTTTTTTCATAATTCAATTTACAGGCATGAGAGAGGACTTCCAGGGCTACTTTAGAAAATGGTGAGAAGGATGGGCTACATGCGTTCAAAGCAAGACAGAGGATTTTGAAGGGGATTAATGGCTGTGTGTCTTTTATTGTAATCAATTTTTTAAATTTAAATATACACCATACTTTTAGATCATACCTCATGTCACAGGCTAGGCACACTTCTAAGCTCTTCCCATAAAGCTCTCCTTCGCCCCCCACCCCGGTACCGGGGATTGAATTCAGGACCTTGGGCTTGCCAGGCAAGCACTTATTCTACTGAGCCATCTTCCCAGACCCCCATAAAAGCTCTTTGAAGCCTGCTGGCAACACTATGGGATGGAGAGGATGCTTCTCCCTATGTCAAGTACTGAGGCACCAGTAGGTCAGCACCTGCCCAAGATCTCGCAGCTAGCCAGAGACTGAGGACATCCTCAAAACAAAGCTGTCTGGCTCCCAAGGCTGAGCGCTTACACGAGGCATCACGCTGCCTGCAGAGGGGCAGAATCCACACAGTGCTCAGTTTGTGTGGAGTGGGCAAATTAGTGGATCAGAACAGGGTGCTTTAGGGGGGCGGTGAAACTCTGGGTGAGTGCTTGCCTCGCTTGCGTGAGACCTGGGTTCTAGCTCAAGTACTGAAAAAAAAAAAAAAAGGAGGTGCAGATGTGTGTCTTAAAATCACCTGGACCCAGACAAAATCAAGAAACAGGTCTCCGTTATTACTTGCTTTTTCTGTCCCCTTCTGCGAGGGCCACTAGCGTGTCTTGTGAGCCTGTCCCAGCACACTGCTTCATACAGAATAGGAACACACTAAATATCTGTTGAATGGACGGGTGGATGGAGGGACGGACAGATGGACGGGTGGATGGGTGAGTAGCTAACAGCTAAGGACCCGGACTCTAGCACAGCTTGCAGTGGTGTCCTGGCCCACAACCATCTCCGTGTGTTGGTGACCTGAGGCAAACCTGGAGCTCACAGCAGTGTCTGAAGGTGACAAAAGTCATAGCAGTGATGGCTGGAGGGGTGACAAGTGACCGGGAGGGGGTGATGTAACTGTCCTGGGTGTTGTAGATACACAGGGGTATGTGCTTGTCAAAACGTACAGAAACTTGAAGTCTGTACATTTCACCATTTAAGCAATGAAAAGGAAAAGTGTCTACTTGGAACTTGGACATCAAGACCCCAGGGCTCAGCACTGAAGGATGTAGGCAGGAGGTGACCACTGGCAGCAGGGAGTGGCCCCAGAGCAGAGCCGGGTGAGCCCGGGCCAGCAGGGCTGTGCCTCTTCCGGTGGCCAGCCTCCCAGGAAGGAGCCTGGCCAGCGCCCATGGCCTGGGGCCCTCTCTGCCCTTTCCCCCTCCAAGTTCCATTCCTTGTCATTTCCACAAATGCTGAGCGCCGTGTGGGGGTGGGGACAAAGTGGGTGATGGCCCAGACCACACTTGGGGGTCGGAGGATGGCAGGCGCACCAGCTCTCCCTGGGGATGCGGGAGCAGGGGACAGACAGGCCTGTGGAGACACATGGCCGCCACAGGGGACATCGCCAAGGCCTCAACACACGTCTGCATGGGTGCCCTCTGCTGTCCTCCCAGCTCCTGGCCACATGCAGGAGGGAGGGAGGCGGGGCTGAATGTCTGTGTCCACTTACCAGGACTCTGCCTGCAGGCCCCTGGCTGGCCACAGTCACCCCAAGCCACATGTCCTCAATAATGTGATGGTTAGGGTCACCTGTGGGCACAGGAGGGATCATGATCCAGGACACCTCCCCACATCCCAGTGCCCAGAGCCTACAGAGGGCGGGCACTGTCCCCTGTGGGTCCTACACCCCAGCAGGGCAGCCCTCCTCGCATCCCTTCTCCAGCCTCTGACTACTGTTACTGCACCACCCAGTCTCCTCCAGGCCCCCTCCCCGGCCCCTTGCCCTCACTTCTCTCTGTGATGTCCATCCGCTCACAGTCGTCCTTGAGGGCAGAGAGAGGGCACAGGTACACGGCACCGGTCCGGTTGGTGGTGCCATCAGGCACTGCGAGGTCCCGGGGGGCACCGGCCAGGAGCCTGGGGGCAAGGGCAAGGAGGCAGGTGGGCCAGGGCTCCGGCTTCCCCAGGCTCCTGCAGTCAACTTGCTATTCAGTGTACATTTGCCCAACGTCAGCTCTGTGCCAGGCTCTGGGGCCCAGCCAGGAATGGGCTCCTGCCGCACCCTCCAGGAAAGCCCAGCGTAGGGGAGGGTGGCCAAGAATGAGGCCGCTCAGAAGGGGCCTCCCTGGGAAACAGAAGGGGCAAAGTCACCTGGTTCATCAGGAAAGAGAGAGAACAGGAGCCTGGGGTCTGGGGTTAATGACCAGGGTGATCCAGGGCAGAAGGAAAGGGCGCGTTAGGCAAAGGCACAGCATGTATCCAAGGGCCCGGAAGGATGACCAAGCAGGGTGACTCAGGGACCAGGCCTGCTGGTACAGAGAGAGCCTAGAAAATCAGGAGGGGCCGCAAGGGGAGGGCAGGCAGGGCCTTGGAAGAGCCAGCAAGGGATTTTAGACCAAAGAGAGAGATGGCTAGACCTCAGTTTCCAAAAGATCGTTTGGGTTCTAGATGACAGCAGACCCACAGAGAGGGATGTAAAAGGAATCAAGGTCCGGGATTCGAATTCCAGCATGGGGGCAGGAAAAAGGAGAACTTAGGAGGGGAGAAGGGTGAGTGACAGAAATCTGAGTCCTTGCTCTTGATACCATTTACCAGGTCCCAAGCTGGCTACGATGCTCTGTGCCTGGCCTGTAACCCAGGTAGTTGGGAGGCTGAGGCAGGAAGATCATAGCAAGGTTGAAACCAGCCTGGGCTACATAGTGAATTCAAGGCCAGCTTGAACTACACATAGGGAGGCCATGTCTCAACAGCTCCTCCCCAAAGATCCAGAGGTCTGGGCCCCTAAGTGACCTGCATGGTGCCCACATCCCCATGCCACCTTGAGACAGTGTGAAAGGTCTGTGGTACCCGGGGTCCCTGGCACTCTGGACAGTGCGGCCCCAATAACTCTGGTTCCTAGAAGGGGAGAGTAAGCAAGGGTTACTGCTTTGGCCCCAGGATTCAGGTTTGGGGACAACGACAGCAAAAAGGATGCTCAGGGCCCTGACAACCCTCCCACAGCGGAGATGTGAGCAGAAGGCCCAGGGGCCCAGCCCTGGAATGCCAGCTCTGAGTGCCTTGGACCCTCAATGCTGCAGAGCCATGGGGTACCTGTGAAAGAGGCCAGTTCCTCAGCCTACCTACCACAGGCCAATGGACACCACCCAGACACCCCAGCCTGAGACCCGAGCTCTCCCGCGCCGCTTCTCCCTACACCATCTCCCTGCAGCCTCTTAGTATTCTCTGTGGGGACCTCTCTTCAGTCCTAAAGGGCTTAAGAAGTCCCTCCATTTGGCCCCAGGAACACTATCACCCCCAGCCTCCCAGCTCAGAAGTCAGGGCTCCTGCTAGAATCGGAGCAAAGGGCCCAGCGACTGCCTCATCAGCGGCCCCACAACCCGTGCCGGAAGCCCCTGCCTGGGACCTGAGGCTTGAAGGTGGCAGGGAGTGGGCAGGGCCGGGCCTGGGCATGCTGGGGCCTGGGCGCCTCTGCCCACTGGGAGTCAGGAATGCACTGCCTCGGGGTGCTGGGGAAAGGGGTAGGGCCTCTGCCTGTGCCTCACATCTGCAGCTCGGGCCTCACCCTGGGAGGTGTTCAGGCAGCAGAGGCAAAGCTGCCCTGGGCAGACTAGGGTACAACAGGGGCCGCCTTAGTCACCCTCTATCTGGCCTGGGGAGGCACCTGCAGGAGGCTACTGTCTGGCCATCCTCGGACAACTGCACCCTGCATGCCTGAGAGATGAGCCAGGAGGAGGCAGTGCCGTGGGAAAGAAGCATCTCCACCTGGGCATTCGGCACGGGGCTCAGGGCAACGTCATCTCCCTGGCATCCCGCAGCTCTAAAATGTGGCAGCCACTGTCCAGGCTTGGGGGGAAGAAAGGGGCTTTCTGCACACTGTGCAGGAGGATTTCTGACTATGAAGCCCAGGTTGACGTAAGCAGCTGGGGCACCGGGACTGGCCTTGCCCCACCTGGATGCCGTGCAGAGACCCAGGATTTTCTGCCCTGCCAGGTTAGGGAAACAAGAGAGGGAAGGACAGACCGCTGTGGTTGTCGACAACAAAGAGACTGTGGTGCAGGAGTAGGTCATCCTCAGGCTGAGGCTGAGGGCGAGGTGGTGTCTGAGGGGTCGTGAGCCCTAGGAGCTCAGAATTGGCAGGAGGAGGCAGCGGCAGCAGGCAGCTACCCCGACCTTGATGAAGGCCTACAGGCTTCAAGGGCTGGAAGGGACCCTGGGGACCTTCTGGAGCACGTGGTGTCCTCTTGCTGCTGCTGGCTGGCCCAAGCTGTGGCGCTGGCGAACCCTGAGAAGAAACAGGGCCCCCTGCTCCCCAGTTCCCTGGCTTAGCTAAGGGGCCTGAGGGACCCTTCCTGGTAGCCTACTAAGGTTCTGGGATGGCAGAGCTGGACCCGAGTGGCAACTGACCTGCAATAAATCCTCAAACCATCTAGAGCATCCCACCGTTTGCCAGCCAATGCCCACGGATGGTGAGGCAGGGCCAGTGCCCTAATCCCAGGCCCCACCCTCCTGGGACATTCCACAGGGCCCCCCCAAGCCCCTTAGGGTATTTTTAGCCCTTACTTGGCCTGTTCTGAGGCCCTGTGAGACTCTCTGGCTGCCAGCCCAGGATCCAATGCACATGGATGGGGGAAGGCTGCAAGGGAGGATCAGCTCCAGCTTCCTCTAGCCACAGCCAGGTGGGCATGCGGTGGGGGCTGCAGAACCCAGAGGGTGGGAGGGGGCTCATCATTATGCAAATGAAAATGTAAATCACCATGCAAATGAACACCTCCAGTAGCTACCTACTGTTGAATCAGGTCTAGATTAGAATCCAAAAACTGACCCTTCCCAGACCACCCTTAAACCCATCTCTCAGTCGCAGGCAGAAGGCAGGAGATAGAAGAGACTGTCCCTCTTCTGGAATCAAGTTGGGCTGGGGCAGCACAGCAGAGCAGGGACCACCCCCTCTCTAATCCGGGAAGTAGGTAGATGGGCGAACCTCTTACTCTCAAGGGCTCTCAGGCAGCCTTTCATCTGGCTCCAGCCAGAAAACCCCTCTGGTCTCTGGGGAGCCCTCTAAGTTCCAGTGGCCAGTGGCGGAAGAGCTCCTCCTCATCCAGCCCCTGCGCCCCAACTGGGCAGCGAAGAGCTAATGGAGCAGCTAAGTGAGAAGGCGCAGAATGCAAGAAGGCTTGGGAAGTGCAGCCCAGGGGCCTCAGGGCAGCGGAGCCACGGCCCTGTCTGTACCATTCAGCTTCCCGGGTCTCACCTTGTCAAGGAGCTGTGGGTTGTTCTCGTGAGATTTCAGAGGGGAACCCCACAATCTGGCACTCAGGGCCCTGGAGGCCCACATGCCTTACTCCTGGAGTCCTGTGCTCCCCTCCTACCCTGAGCCCCAGGTGGCAGGAGGCAGCTCTAGGATGGCTAGATCCCAGCCCTGTGCCAGGCCTGCTGCCCAAATTAGCCACCTCCCCAGAGGCTGCTCCTCCGGTGGCTGAAACCAAGCCCCCCCCCAGTCTTCCTGTGCCCCTGCTCCACATCCCATCCCCGGCCAGCCCCCCTCCCTTGGTGACTCAGCCCTTGCACCAGAGCGACAAGCTGGGGGGAGCACAAGACTGTGACGGATGAGAAAGAGGCCTTGGTGGAGCCTCAGATGAAAAGCATGAGAACAAGGCTGTTTCTTATGTCTCCCCTTTCCTGGCACTTTGGTATTTCTCTCTACATTTGACCCCTCAGAACATTCCCCTCAATCCCTCCTACTACGAAGGACATCTCTCTCCTATGTCTGGCTCTGACCAAGCCCCTTCAGGCCTTCCCTGCCCCCTCCCCACGGTGAAGCCTGTTGGCCCAAACCAGTCCTTGAAGACAGCCAGAGCAAAAGGCCAAAGGCCGCTCCGTCTGCAGCCACAGCTGCTGGGCCATCTCTGCGGGCACGAGCCTTGGAGGCTGCCAGGCACCCGCCCCACCCAGGGAAACATGCTTCTGAGAGCAAGGCAGGTAAGCCTGGCCTCAGCCATGACCTCATTTCTAGGAGTCGCAGCCACGCCTGCTGGAGGCCTCCCAGACACCCTCACTTCCAGGCAAGCGCCAGAGGGAGGGGGAGACCAGAGGGGTCCCCACAGCCTACCAGGTCAGGCCAGACCAGGATACCTGCATTCTCAGGAGGGAAGAACAAAGTGGGTACCAGGCTAGGGGCTGTCAGGAGCCACCTCTCAGGAGAATGGTGCCTCTTGCTCCAAGGGGCCCTCATGCACCTTGCCAAGAAGCCCAAATCACCTCAGTCCTCCGCTGTTCCTCCCCTTCACTTCCAGAGATGGGAAGCTCAGGGAACCCCAGTCCAGAGATGAAGGTGATGGGCAGCAAAGAGGGTCTGCCCTGGAGTCTTAACCATTTCCCAACAAAGCCTTCTTTGAGAATACAGAAACTACAGGCCCCCCTCCTCCTCCTGTCCCCAGGAAAGTATAGAAACACATGTGATTTTGCATATACTTTCAGGAGACCCTCCATTCTTTTTTTTTTTTTTTTTTGCGGAACCAGGTATTGAACTCAGGCCCTTGTGCTTGCCAGGGAAGCACTTATTCCATTGAGCCATCTCCCCGCCCCCCACTGAACCATCTCCCTGGACCCTGAGCCATCTCCCTGGCCCCCCTCCATTCTTAAAGACCTGTGAACCGCAGAGAGAGGACCTGTCCAAGACCAGGACCCACCTACTCTTCCAAAGGAACACAGAGGCTAACAGAATACAAGGTTGCACCTTGTCTTGTTGGCTCCTGGGAGCTCTGTAGACAGCTGTTCGCATCTGGCTCCACAGCTGGCTGCAGCTAAGCCCAGCTGGCTCCCCAGAGGGCCAGGGGGCTGAACTCGATAAGATGGGCCAAGATACAGAACCACTCCTGGACAAGACTGAGGACATCCAAGGGGAGACCCACAGCTCAGTCTAGATGGCAGCATATCTAAGCCACCTGTCTCAGAAGTCTAGGAGCTCCGAAAGACCATCGCTGCCTAGGAAGAAAAGCAGAACTCCTCTGCCCAGCCACCCTAGGTGGGGTCCAGGGTAGGCACAGGCCTCACACCCTGGGCTTGGTACTTCAGGTGCTCCTTGGTGAAGTGGGCACATGCAGGGCATTTTACATGCTGATACCAATAAAGAAGGCACCCTCCTGCCTACACACACACACACACACACACACACACACACACACACACGAGCACATACGAGCAACCCAAGGCTCAGGGGTTAGTGGCAGATCCAGGACAGAGTGATGGCAACGCCGGCCCCTCGGGAAGCTCATCTCCCGCCTACAACACCAAGCTGCCTGAGGCAGCAAGGAGCAAGTAGATGCAACTTCCACTGCTCTGGGGTGAAAACCAGCCTCAGAAAGGGAAATATCTTGCTCAAGGTCACACAGCAGAGGGGGAGGGGTTGCAGAATCACTTTTTACACTTTCTTACTAGGCTGATCTCTTTTATTCACTGACACGCAGTGTTTACCTTAGGTCACACAGCTTTAGCATGGAAACACGATAATCATTTTCTGGGCTGGCGTTATAGAAATGTACACCTACCCACGGCCACTCAGGGCCTCTAAAAAAAGGCCGAGTGTTGGCCAAGGCCAGACCACAGCTGACTGCTAGGCAGGAAGGGTGTGGTGGCCCTACCTTCACAGCAGCAGGGCGGAGCAGAGGCTAAGTCCAGGTAGCAGAGTGGAGGGGCTGGGCAGCAGGGCTGAGACCCAGACAGAAGCAGACATGTTGGACTCTGACCACTGCAAGCTTCCTCAAGTTTCCACAGGTCCCAGGAAGAGCTGGGAGAGGTTTCAGTGCGCTCTCAACCTGCTGTGTCTTTGCGGGGAGACGCCTGGCAGGTCCCTCCCTGGGCAGCCTCACCTACTCCAGGCACGTTCTTTCTCTAAATGCCAACCCCAGAGCACTGAGCCCACACACGAAACCTCTGGAAGCTGGACAGGTCCCTCTGGACCCGAGTGCTCGCGGAAGGCAAGGCTCAGGCAGCCCTATGCGGTTGGTCTCCTGCCCTCCCTCCCGGAAGCCCAGAGGAGCTCCTTCTCCTTGCAGCTGTTAGGAAGGAGAAGAGAAGAAAGAGAAAAACACCATTTTCCTCTTCAAACCAAAACAAACACACTCAGAGCTGCCCATCCAACACGCATCTGTGGAATGCAGGAAGATGTCTGGTGGGAGAGGACTCGCTGGGGGGTGGGTGCACCAGGCCTCTCTGGCTTCCTCTGTCCCTCTCTGGTGGAATCAGAGGGAGCCTCTGGACAGCTCCAAAGCCAGGTTCCCCATGCGCTCCCCCACGTAATGCCAAGCACCCAAGGTAGCTGACCGGAGGGCGTGGCTGGCGTGGCCACTAACTAAAGGAGAGGTGTAAGGGGGGGCTAAATGCGTATGTTCACGGTTCTTTCCAGGAGAGTGGCGCGAGGCTCTGGGTGTTTATCTTGCAGTTTTCCCAAATCCCAACCCCAGAGCCACGAGGCTAATGGTAGCCTCTCGGTCCACAGGGGCTTCAATTGCTGAGATCCCACTTCAGCCCCTCACGGAGGTCTAAGGGGTGGTGGGCGGCGTCTAACACGTTCGGGCCGGTCAGCGCTTGCCGGTGATTACTGCCCCCCCCCCCAGCCTCCGCTTCGCTCCCGGCCCTGCAATCGGAGGGCTTCCCAGGTAACCGCCCCCTTCATCCCAGCCCGCCAGGGCTTGCTGGTTCAGGGCTCTGACCCGGCTCCGGATCCATTGCACTACCCCACACGGACTCCCTCCCTCTCCACCCTCGGCAGCCGGACTTACAGGTAGCGCCGCTGCCGCTCTGTCTGCTGGTGGAGGGCGACCGAGTAGCCGAAAAGGCTGCCCGGGTTCTCGGCTTCCTTCACCACCAGGAATCGGGTGTCCAGGTTGAAGGCGGAGGCGACGCGGCTGCCGGCCGCCACCATCAAGGCGAGCGCGCAGAGCACCGGGCGCGGGGCGCAGGGCGCGCGGCTGGGACCCGGCCCCATGGCCCGGAGCCGGGGCGGGCGGGCGGACGACGAGGGCACGGGCCGGGCGTGGGGACCTGTTCACCTGCTCCCGCGCCCCGGAGGACCCGAGCCCGCCGCGCCCCTGCGCCGCGAGGGCCGGCGGTTTCTTGCCCAGTCCAAGTCACGTTCACGTCTGCTCAGCGCGGCGATCTCCGATCCTCTTCCAAGGCCCGTATCTCCAGTCCCGCAGCCGGGTCACCGTCCCCGCGCCTGGCACGCGGCCCCCCAGCTCGCCCTGGCCGCGCCCCCCTGGCCGTGCTGCACGATTCCGGCTGGGCGGCGGATCTGGGCCAGCTGGGCGGGTCGACCGCAAGGAGGACGCGGGGAGGGCCCCCCACTGGCGCGCGCCCCGCCTCCCCACGCCCAGCCCCGCACCTCCCCACCTTGCGAGCCCAGCCCGGGCGGGCTCCGCTTTCCTTCCGGGGAAAGAGAAAAGGTCCCGGCTCGGCCGCCGCCTCTTAAAGGGGCAGCACCGCCCCTCCCTTCTCATCCTTCCTACTCGGGCTCCGCCCTCTCCCCCAGACACCTGTCGGGAGCCCCTAAAGGCTTGAATTTCCATCCCCGGCCCTCGCTTCTCCCGAGAAGCGGAGCCTCCGGAGCTAGACGGATTGGACGGGGCGGGGTGGGGGGCGGGATCTGTCCCTTCGCACTGCTGCGGCCGAGAGAGAGGCCCTTCCAGGCGCTGCCACCGCGCTTTGCCGGTCGGGCGGGGCGCGCATCAGCGCCATCTGGGACCGAAGTCCGCGCGCGGCTGGCAGGAAGGCTGTGCTAGCCGCCCCGCGCGCTGAGCTCCTAAGGGTGGCTGGAGGTCTCTGGGCGTTTTTGCTCGCACCGGGCCTCTTCTCTGTCTCAGTCGAGATTTGTTTTTCCTACCCGCCCGTCCCCACCCATCCTGATCCGAGCAGGGACTGGCTTCTCATCAAAGTCAGGGAGATAGTCTGCCGTGATAATAACCAAACACCGCTAGCTGTAATTAGCACGAAGCCTTTTCCGCTTCGGGCCGCCTTCTGGTAGCTAGGGCTAAGCTGGCGGCGTGGTAATGAGTCCCTGCTTGGAGCACTCCGGTGGCTGGGGCAGCGCCCATTTCTCACCAGCCGCCTCCACCCTCCCGGGTCTCACTGAGCTGCGCGGAAACCAGGCCGACAGCTGTAGTAGGTGGTGGGCGGGAACTTCAGGAGGTCACCGTGGACTTTCTTGAATCTAACTCAGGTTTCCCTTAATGCAGTACAAAAATCCATTTGCCCTGCACATTCTGAAAATACGGTGTATCAAGTGTGCTTTTATGATTTATTCAATTAAATCTTCATGTCCATTGTGGAGGTGTTATCTCCGAAGGGAAAACTGAAACCCTGGGAGAGTAAGCAATTTGGCAAAGGCCACACAGCCAGGATGTAATCGTGTGTCCTCTGGCCTTAGAGCCCTTCTCAATCACATAAGCTAATCATTAACCTCTGTACAATACGAAGGCAGATCCAGGTTTGGTGGAACCTGAATCTTGCACCATTTGATGTGATGGTGCACACCTGTGACCTCAGCCCTGGAGAGGCCAAGACAGGAGGATTGCTCCAAGTTCCAGGCCAGCCTGGGTTACCTAGTGAGTTCGAGGCCAGTCTAAACTATCAGGGAGGGGTTGGGGAGGTAGTTCAGAGGTCCAAGCGCCTGCTTGGCAAGTGCAAGAACCTGAATTTGATCCCCCGAACCGCATGCCGTTCCAGTCCTGAAACTGGCCATGGTGGCACACGCCTGTAATCCCAGCATTAAGGGAGGTTGAGACAGGAGGATCATAAGGCTGGGGATGTGGCTCAGTGACACAGCATCTGCCTGGCAAGTACAAGATCCTGAGTTCAATTCCCGGTGGTGGGGGGGAACAAAGGCTGGGTAAATAAATATATTTAAAAATAAAATAAAAACTATACTGTGAGAACCTGTCTCTACATCTCCATCCCCCCAAAAAAAGATTAGAACCAGAAGCTGGAAAGAGACACCAGTTTGACTGTATAGATCACAAACCATCCCGTGTGTAGGCTCCTGTTATCCTCTCAGAAGCCCCAAGTCAAGATTAACGTCTGTATTCACTTCGGGAGGGGATCAGGCCTGGCAAGGTGACTGGATGTCACCGATTGGACAACATATGGGAGGCAGAGGTAGGGCTGGAAGCCGCTGAGCACAGCTTCATCTTTAAAAGACAAACTCCAGGCAGATGTTCAGAACCAGAATTGCCTAAACAGAAGCAGCTGCGATAACAGCTTTCTCGATGCGGTACGGGGGAGAGGACACTTGTCCTTGGCTGCCCTTAAGACAGCATTCGTTCCTGAACAGTGAGTCCCAGAGTCACCCAGCCTCTCTTGTGGTCCATGTTGTGGTCCAGGGCCACCGAGGGTTAGGACACATCCAGAATCGTGGGACAGGAAGCTGGACGGAAGTTGAGCCTGTTGTGTTCCCTCCCTGGCCACTCCTGGGATCCTCCACCTTATTCCTGGAGAGGGGAAGACAGCTGAGACCAGGGGTGCAGGGCAAATGTTCTGTCCTCCCCCAAACAACTTTGAGTCCTGTGATGACAGATGGCTCCATGCCAGCCCTTATCTCTCTGGCCATGCCAAACAGGAATCACCAGCATGTCCGATCCAGAGTCTGGGAGCAGGAAAGGGATGCGGGATGGTTTTCCAGTCCAGGGGAGGGTCCAGAGGGAATTTGGGAGCAGAGCTGGAGCAAGGGCCAGGAGGAGGGCCTGGAGAAGGAATGTGGGGAGTGTCCAGTCTGGGGAGACGGGCTGCGGTGGAGGAAACTTGGAGACAGGAAGGGTCTGCGCTGGAAAGACGGAGAGTCACCCTGAGTTCATGCCACGGAGCTGAGCTCCCTCCGTACCATCCTCGCCCACGGCCTCTTCTCCTCTGGCTTTATCACGTCAACCAACTCACGAACTCTTCTCCTGGAGAAGGGGAAACTCAGACCGCAACCTAAGGGCACGAGAGGAACGTGCGGCTTGAAGAGCCCAAGCGCAGTCAGTTTCTGATGTTTGCTGGCAGCCTTTATACCCTGCTCCTGCCTCCTCCCCTGAGGTCTGCACTGGCACCTGGACAAGCGGGTGGACAGGGGTGCCTCCCTAGGCCCAAATCCTTTCCTGCCTAAACCCTCTGCCCCAAGCAAAGCCAACTCTCTTGTCTGGCTCTCCTAAGCTATTTGAGATCCGCTGGAGAGGTTGGTCCTGCTGTCATCGGAAACCACGATTACGTAAATAATAAGCATGTTCTTACCCTGTCGGTGCATACATGATGTCATTTATGCTAACATATATTTTTAAATAATTTCCTTTTGAGAGAGGGTCTCCCTGCATAATTCAGGCTGAACTTGAACTCAATGCATAGCACAGGCTGGCCTCGAACTCAGGGTAATGCCCCAGCTTCAGGAGTGCTAGGATTACAGACGTGCACCACCACATGACATCTGAATGAAACCTGAGATGGGCCCATCCGCCCCTGCAGGTGACACAGTGAGCGTGTGGGCAAAGACAGGACTGTCCCTGGGAGCCTGCGTAAGAAGAAAGGCTGAAGAGGCAGGGTCTGGTTTGGGTGAAGTTTTCCCAGCTGGAATGGGACAATGTCAATACTCCCCACAGGCTGCTTCTGTACAGGGAGCACCGCTGGGGACCAGTTGAGTGCGGGCTGCCTCTTGTCCTTGTCTTCTCCATGGGCAAATTGCCCTCCTGCTACAGCCTCGATTTCCCAGCCGTGAAAGGAAAGGGCTGTAGAAAGTCCTCCCCCTTCCCCATCTACTTGTACTCGTTGCATCTCAAAGCTGCTCGTATCTGCTGATGTAAGTGGACTAAATCTCTGCTGTTGTACTCAGGTCCCTATCTCCGCTTGAACTGAAAATGCAAACTGTAGGGGCAAGAGGAGGGTCAAAGCCTAACTGGGGTTATCAGTGGACCACTTCCTTCCCTGGTTCAGTATCCCTCCACTCAGTCTTTCCCTGAGGACCTCTGACCCCCGTATCTAAGATGAGTGAGGGCCTCTTCCTGGAAATGGGATTTCATCCAGGCCTCACGTTCTGGAAGCTCCCAGCCTTACACAGCCTGAGCTCATGTCGCTTCAGATTTTAAGGCTGGTGCTGGTCGAGCGAGGGAGATGTCAGAAAGAATATCCAGGCTGCTGTAGGAAGTTGACGGTGGGCGTGGCTAGGAGGGCAGGGAGGGGACACGCGGGGGTGCTGTATGATTTGGGGGTTGGGGGAGTGCTGAACAGAGGTAGGGGCAAATTGGAAGGGACAGTAGCCCTCAAGGAGGCATGGAGAGCAGGTCCCAAACAAGGCCTGCCCCTGATCCCAAACAAGGCCTGCCCCTGATCTATGTCCTGGCTGGGCCTGGCCCCAGGTCCCCTCCTGGTCTTGCCTGGCTCCTAGCTCTGGTGACCTTTGCGAACTCAACTCACACTGGCCCTTGGAGGGGAGCATCCATGGGTGTCCACATGGTGGAGGCAGCAGCCACAGCTGAGCCGGCTGAGCCCCTGGGAGAAGGCATCTTATAGCAGTGTCTGTTCACCAGGAGTTTGGGCGACGGAGGCCTGCCCTGCCTGCTCACTCGCTGCTGGGGATGGGGATTCGTAGGTCCCCGTGTATTCATTCACATGTGCCCTTCCCTGGGTCGCTTTCTCCACACTGGCTTCCTCAGGGCCAGGGAGTGGGGAGAGGTGGATCTGCCTCGATCCTGCTGCCAGAAGCAGCGATGGGTCAAGTGGGCAGGGTCAGTAGGGTGCTGGGGAGTGGCTGGGTCCATAAGTGACAGTGGCATCCAGCTCGCTGACCCACCTTGACTCACCCTACTGGACAGCAGTGTCACCACAGCTCACTAATTCCTGCATTTTTTTTTTTTTTTTTTTTTTTTTTTGGCTTTCTTTGTAATACTAATGATGCTGGAGTATGTCTGCTACAAATAGATGCAAAGTGGGGATTTGCTCACGGAGAAATACAGAGTAAACTACCAAGGAGGAAACCCCGTCTCCACTGGGTCTACTGACACTTAGGTAAATAGTTATCCCAGGAGCAGCTGGGTGTGGTGGCACACAGCTGTCACCCCAGCACTCAGGAGGCCGAGACAGGAAGATCCAGCCTGGATTACAGGTGAAACATTGTCTAAAAAAAAAAAAAAACAACCAAACTCCCAGTGCTTCTTAATAACTAACTCCCAAATCAGTGCCCTCCCAAGTTCCAGCCCTGTAGATGTGATTGCTAAATGCAAGTCCCTAACAGGTCCCCAAAGTGATGCACAGGTGTCCCCTAGCCTGCACTGCTCCTGGGCACTCAGACCACCTGGAAGCCTGGCCTCTCCTTCCTCTTTTCTGCCCAGCTTAGGCACCCGCTGGTGTCCTTGCCTTCAGCATTCTCCTTGGTGGACTGGAGGGGATCGTTTCTGTTTCTGCACCACAGCACTGGGGTGCAGGCAGCGCTACACAAGTGTTCTACCACCCAGCTACGCCTACGGCCCCTGTATTTTAGGTTGGGATGGGTCTCACTGAGCTGCCCAGGTTGGCCTTGAACTATGT